TCGGTATAAATTGTACTAAATACTTTTTTATTTTTAATATACAATATGCAACGATAAATTTCGCTTCATGTGTATATCGTTGACAAAAAACAATTGTCACATCTTAATTAATTGTTATATGATTTACAAACTTATGAGTAAAATTTAGCAAATCAGTATAAATCGTACCAAATACTTTCTTTATTTTTTAATTTACAATATGTAGCAACGATAAATTTCCGTTATGTGTATATCGTTGACAAAGGACAATAATTTGAAATAAATAAAAAAATGTCAATCCTTTTATAGCTTTATTGCGGTTTTTACACCTATCTTAGGGTATGATTTAGCATACATACTTTACAAACAAGAAAAAAATATTGAATTAAAAAACGTATAAATGTAATATGTAATAATATGTACAAAGATAAAGATTGATTGTCTTTATATTTAAGTTTTATGGTGTATAATAATTTTTGAAACATTTGATACTAAATAATATATATTAATTGCAAATGTTTTATGTAAATTGCACATTGTACTTTTTTAATAAACATATCCTATTACTTACGCAATTTTTCCTTTGTGTCAAAAATCTAAATATTTCATCAGCAATATCAAGATATTTTATATTTAAGTGTAAACTTCCCGGTGATAACTCATCCAAAAAGAAACATGAATTATCAATGTTATATGTCGAGTTATAAATTGTATCTTTATCTTTTTTATGATATTTTTTACATTTGGAAATAAAACTATATTTTTAATACTTAGTTTTTCTGAATGTAAAAATATGTTTGCATTTTGTTAAAAATGCTTATACTGATATTGTATTCTCCATAGAAAATATATAATTATAATTAGTTTACATATAACTTTAACATATTACTAATTCTTATAGTTATGCAATCATGATATATATATTATATATATATAACGAATTAATAATACGTATAAATATAACTATATTGGCTGTAAATTTTTATAATATTTAAATAAAAATTTGTACTATATACCCATACGAAAAAAATTACTGATATAATAATACTTTTTCTATATATATTATTGTTATACCAGTAATTTTTGCATATTCTTGTAGTTTCTTTTGTAAGGGTACGTATATATATATATATATATATATATATATATATATATATATATATACATATATATACAATACATGTGTATGTGTGTGTGTGCGTAAAGTGTATTGAGTAACAAGTGCGGGAAATCGGCCGAGAGTGCGGAAGTTTGGCGCACGAGGCGAAGTCAAGTGTGACAATCCGCACTCTCGGCCGATTTATGACCCGCACATGTTGGTCACGATATTATGTGTGACCGGTGCGTGGAAAGGGAATCTTTTCTATAATCCCAACATGTGCGGAAAGGGCGACTTTCCGCGCACCTGTTGCACAAAATATATTTTGATTAATTCGCGCAATAAAATTAAAAACAAGTCAATATGTAATTCAAATTAATAGATAGTGCATTTATCATTTAACAAACAAATTTATATATATATATATATATATATATATTATTTATATTTATACATTTTTTATTCTTACTTTATATCTAACAATAAAATTTATAGTAATATTATATGACTACTTTCTTGTAAACACAGGCAATAATATATAGTTCAATTACATTAAGCAAGTTTGCAACAAAATTAAAAACTTGATGGGTGCAGTCATAAAGATTTGTAAATATAGAAACATCGAAGAATAGTACATCTAAATAAATAATAACTAAAGCAATGAAATATAAATAGTACATACAATATATAATAATTATTATTATAAAATATATTCACGCACACTATGTAAAGCTGCAATTTTTTTACTTTTACCAATGGATAATAGTATAGAAGACTGTCTTTGTCTTTCTATTTGATTGTCGCGAATTGATATCTTGCTTTCAATTTTGCCAAAATTCTTCATTATAAAATCCTAATATATATAAACAAAGATTTGCACAATGAAATCAATATATACTCTTTATATAATAAACAAAACAAATATAAATTGATATTCATATATTAATAAGATTTTACAATATATCATTTTTTCTTTCGCTTTTCATAATAATATTTATTAAATTTACCTTTTCTTTCATTCCAATACTTGCGTCTACATTGACCTTCAATCGTTCAAGGTATTCGTTTATTTTCTAAAATGTATAATAATAATTTTTTTTACATTATTAATAAACAATGTTATTATAACATTATCAAAATTATTTAACATTAAATAATAATTATTAATATTGCATTATTATCGCATTTTGTATATACATACATATATATATACATGTAAAATTTTTACCTGAGTTAGATATACGGAATATACGTTATTAATAAGAATAATAAAAGCTGCAGGTATATTAATATGTCTAAAAATGAAAAAAACAAATGTATATATAAAGCACAATAAATTTTTGTACAAAATATAAAAATGTCACATTACTTTGGTTTTATGTTCCAAAAATCATTTAATATGAAGTACTTCAGGATAATTGAATTCTTTGCATGTTTCGTAATAATATGTAAGAATAAACTGTTAGGAAGATATTGATATTGTCGTTTTCCATAAATGTCATGTTTATAATTAAAATAGTCGGTGATGATAGAAGTATCTTCAGTGCAAGCCAAGTATTCTAAAAATTTAGGATCAGATTTTTCAAATCCTATATTATACACTAATCTCCAAATCATTTTGTTGGTATATATCGTCAAACCATTACAATATGTCCACTCCTTCCACCATGGCAAAACTCTAAAACGTAATAAAAGATTAAATTTTCTTATTAAAAATTAGCATATGGATCTCTTGATCGAATTATTTGAACATTGTAGGTGATACCTACAAGAAAATTTCATTAAAAAAGACTAAAAAAGTATGTATAACAATATTTACTTGTGTTTTGTAGGATTTTGGAGATGCTGTTCTAATTTATTCTTGGCTTCTTTCTTACAATTGAAGTTCTCAAGAAAACATGCCCATCTTGCAGCTTCTTGTCGTAAACATATTCTAAGTTCGTCTGTATCATCAATTTCTTCATATTTGATTCTTCCAAGTACTTGTTCTAATGCGTACCTTACTCTAGACTAAAAATTGTTAAATATATATTTATTTTAACAAATAGTAAGATGCAATTTAATTCGACCAAAAACTAACTATTCATTTATTGAAAATAAGTACACACTACATTTCGACCCACATTGTGTTAAAAATATATTTATTTGTTTATATTACAAATATATTTAAAAATTAATTATTATATTTTTTTATTATTTTCCAATAGATTCTTAAAATTTTTTTTATAAAATAAACATAAATACAAATTCACTTATAGACGCTAACGTTTATCTATTCACATACATATGCACGTGCAAATATACATATGTATTATACCTGTACGCAAAAATATGGTTTAATTTGTGCAAAATGTTTTATAATATTTAATAGATATTATCGCTTTATAACTATTTATTAATCATATTTTATTTTTAAATAAGGTATAAAATATATCTTTTTGAATTATGTAATTAAATTTTTTTAACTATATATATGTTTAATATTTTTTTTATTACAACATGTAATATTGATATAAAGCCAATATAATTGCATTTATTGACAAAGATTTTAAGCACCTTGCTATATATCAAATAACAATTTTATATACCAATAATATTTGGAGTAGTGAAAATTATAGACTTTTCGGACAGTTCTTCAGGTGAGTGATTATTCAAACTGAATTTGTTTGCACATTTGTTTGCGATATAATAGAATGTAAAATAATTTTATCGGTGCTGGATATATTTTTCCAAGTATTTAAATTATTTGTGATCAATGAGTGTATATGCAAATATTTAAAATGTAATATTTTTATTGAAATTTATTAATATTTACAGTAATATTTCCATCCAGTTCTCTCCATGGAAAAGTACCATACATGTATTCCAAAGCTTTAAACATAGGATACCATGCTATATAATCTTCTTCTTGTTGCAAATACTCTATAAGATTCCAGAATATATGGGTTTGGAGTTGGCCTGCTATCATTAAATGAAATGCATCATCGATAATTTGAGCACGATTAAGAACATGAATTTTCGTGTAATTATCATGGATTAGAAAAATTGAAATTCTTCGCCAATTCTCATCATCATAATTAACGCGATAATATCCTGTCGAATAGTAAATAAATTTTATCAATTTTTATTGTTTTACGTAATTTTATCATTAAAATACATATTTTCAAATTTATTTCAATTTTTGTTTCATACTTCTGTTTATATAAATTATAAATTAAAAATCAAAAATTTAATAGATATAAAAGAAATGCAAATACATAATATAGAAAATTAATTATAAAAATGTCATTCTAATACTTGAAATAGTAGAGAAAATGAAACTGTGCAGGATATTGTTATATATCATAAAATAAAATTGATTTTAGTTGTGCATAAATAATAATTATTTTATGCTAACACCCATATAATTTTTGTAGCATATGTAACGTTACAAAAATCTACGTTACCTGGATTTATTATTATTAATTTTATAAATATAATTATCTTTTTAATAATTTTTACAATTATTTGAATAACATATTTGTAAAAATATAACATTAATATTGAATGATATTATTTAGAAAACGCCTACGTATATCTTAAATATAATATATATATATATATATATATATATATATATATATATATGTAAGTATGTATATATATATATATATATATATATATGTAAGTATGTATATATATATATATATATATATATATAATATATATATATATATATATATATATATATATATATATATGTAAGTATGTATATATAATAATGCAAAATATTACACAAAAAGTTTTAAAACTATTATAATTATAATAAATTATATTATAATTATATAATAAATATCTCAAAATTTTATAGAACAATGAATAAAAAATAAATAAAATTAGATAAAAAAATAAAATTATGTAAATTATATGTTTGTAAAATAAAGATGAGAAATAAATCATAATAAGTCCGTATGTCGATATTTACCAACTTGTTGTATATTAAATATCATCCAACCACCCTCTTTAAATGGTAATGATAATTTGAGATCCTCTGACACGTTTAGAAAATGATGAGTAAAATTGTTAAAATTGAGAGATGCTTCCGTAGTAAAAGTTATAGGAATGTGGCGAATTTTTAATATGTCGATATATTGTATCGACACAGTTGTTTGGCTCATTGGATCACTATAATTTCGTTTTACTTTAATGAGAGGACAGTGCTTTTCCGAAGACCAATATTTCATTCTTGTTAGTCGTACAGCATTATTCATTTTGAAAGCAACATTCAAATGATTCATAGAGCCTAGACAATGTGATAGCCTAAATTCACAAAGTACGTAAAATATATAAATAGAAACAAGTTACAAATATGTTCAAATTATCTGTATAATGTTCATATTATATAAAAATGTTGGTAGTTATTGAGATATGGGAAGCCACTTCCGATTTCGATGACCTTGACATTTGTTGTCAAGATCACTGACCTGAGTAAGTATAAAGAGGTTTTAAGTGTCGCTCATTATTTTAAAAAAGTTATTAACAAAAAAGTTATGAACAGAAAAGAGATATAAGTTTTACATATTTAAAAACCTGTTAAATAAGATTAGAAAACAAATGTAGCACAAAAATGCAATTAAAACAACAGATATAAGAATTATAAACAATATAAAAATAAAGAAAATAATAAATAAAAAAAAATTTTTTAATTATTTTAAAAAATAACAAATTATGAAACAAAAATAAAACAACAATAAATATGTATATGAAAACATGATAACGATAACAACTTCTTTCTACAGAAATCGTTTTCATAGGAAGAGTAATAAAATTAAAAATAATACTGGTAGAAGATCAGTAAGAATAGAGGAATTGTAACACTAAGCAAAAACATTATGAAATAATGTCAGAAGAAACGAAAGAAAATAAGGGACATTATATAAAAAAATTTGTATATTATTATAAATTATTTAAGATTTCTATAATTTTATTTTTTATATTATATTCTATGTTGTATTACTCACGTGCTATTTGCATATGAGAGAATGTTTTTCCAAAAAATGTGTCCGAGGGCGTGTTGCATCATGCGCAGTATAAAGGGTGCTATAATTTACATCAAAATTATAAATTAAATACTTTATAAATGTATATTTATTATAATGGTTGCATGTAAACAGAGTAATTTTATAAAGAAAATTATAATATAAATCTATATATAGGATAGTAATCGCGTAAGAGTGAAATGTTTTTTATTGCCGCACCGTTTATCGTTTTATTTTATAAGTAAATTTCTTCTTAATACTTACGAAGATAGCAAAACTTTAAAGGACCATTCCCTCTACTTACATATGTACGGCTATCACTGTACACTATGTGTGCGTGTGCGTGTGCGTGTGTGTGTGTGTGCGCGTTTGCGTAAGTGTGTGAATAAGCATGAGCGTGTGCGCGCGCAGGTGTGTACTTTTATAAATATATTAAATTAAAATCCAGATAAAAAATTAATTATCTTCTAATTTTACACATATTTTAAACCATTAACAGTTAAAAATTTGCGCAGACTATTTTATTAAATTACGTATACCTTTGATAGAATTGGGAATTTCCAATGAACTGTTAACTTGTGAAGTAAAATTCCACATATAATAATCACTATCCAAATTAAAAGAGTAATGTTGATTTTGAACAACAAATAAATTTATTATTGGATAATCTGGATTAGTCTATAGAAAAAATAATTATTATATCGATATAAGCTTTTTGAAAATACTTGCATTAAAAATAAATACTAATATTATTACTGTTACTTTATTGTTAAAACGAATCATTTTTTTATTTAAAAAACACATTAAAATAAATATATAATAATGAAATCTAAATTTTGTATTAATATAATTAACGAATATGTATTACGTATTTTTTAAATTATTGCCTCATGATATTATATTATTGCAAATTTCTTTTTACCAAATTTAATTAAATAAATGTGTACTCGTTTTTTATTAATTTTTTTATATTACATTACATAAAAATTTTAAAATATGTACTAGTGGTGTTAAAAAAATAAAAATTTTAAATAAATTAATTATAATTATATATATGTAAATATGTGAAAAAAGTATTTCTTTAAAATAGTTAATTATTTTAAATAATGCTAAATATATTTTCCAGACAATTCACAAAGAATGCATATAGATTTTGTAAAAAGGGTTTGATTTAAGAAAACCTTGCAATCTAAATGTTTAAGTATTATATCGTTTACAAGAAGGTGGGAGCGAGATAGAGTTGATAATATTTAAAATTACGTACCTTATTGACAGCATACGTTGCAAGCAATAAAATAAGACCTTTTTTAAACCAAAAATCCGACAATAATGGATCGTTCAACATGTTATTAAACCATTCCTGTGTCACTTTACGTCCTACTAATTGAGCTACTTCGATTTTGTGAGCAATAGGATATAAATTTTCATTGTAGATGATATCTGCTTCTCTGAAAATTATATTTTAATGTTAACACGCAGAACTTTTATAGAAAACTTTATTTTTGTTACAATATTTTAATTTAATTGTTACTTGTACGATTTACAAAGTCATGGATGCAATTTAGCAAATCAGTATTGTAAATTAAACCAAATAATATTTTCTTTATTTTTTAATTTACAATATGAAACAACGATAAATTTCTGTTAATGTGTATATCGTTGACAAAGAACAATAATTTGAAAATTTTAAAAATGTCATTTTTTTCATAGCTTCATTACAGTTTTAACATCTACCTGAGAGGGTACAATTTAACATACATACTTTACCTTTTATTCAAACGGTATACTTTAACTTTGGAATAATATAAATAAACATAATTCTACGAAAGTTTTTTATATTTCACAATTCTTTATACTTTCGAACGTGCACAGAAACAAAATATTGTATATACATGTTTTTAAATTTTATCTATTTGCATACTAATATAATTTTATTTTTAATGTAATTCTAAACACTTGTACTCACTTATAAAAAACAAGTCCGAAAACTATTATGCCATTGTCATGGAAATTTGGAATTGCAACATGTGTTACCTTCGAAATATTGTTCGAACATTGTTTCCATTCATTTTTGAACAGCAACGTGATATTTTCAGCTACATTTTCTGCAAATTCTATGTGAAATCCAGATTCGTTTCTGCACCACATTTCAATGTTTTGAGTGTCTTTATCAATAAGTAATAGGTAATTAGACACAATCATTGTTGCAAGATAAGGCGACATTGCAGATGTGATAGCGAAGTGTGTCCATAACATTTTAAACTTATTTTCTTCCGTTTGTCGCAATGGTATATTTGACAAAGCCGTACATTGATTACATCCTATAGATATATTAAAGGTTGCTTCTAACAATAAATTCTGTTCATTCCAACATGAAGACAATCGTCGGGTGCAGATTATATGAAACTGAGTAGCACCTATCAAACTATACATTTCAAGGAATATATATTAATGAACATTTTTAGTAAGCATAAAAATATTGGAATTAAAAAACGTATAAATGTAATAAGTAATATGTACTAAAAAAAAGATTACCCATCTTTATATTTAAATGTTATGGTATATAATAATTTTTGAAACATTTGATACATAAATAATTATTATATTAATTGCAATGTTTTATGTAATTGCACATTGTACTTTTCTAATAAACATATCCTATTTACTTACGCAATTTTTCCTTTCATGTCAAATATTCTAAAGGATTCATCAGTATTACCATAATATTTTATATTTAAAGTGTAAATTCCTGGTAATAACTCATCCATAAAAGAAACATGAATTATGTCTTTACCAATATTATATGTCGAGTTATAAATTGTATCTTTATCATTTTCATGATATTTTTTTACATTTGAAAATAAAACTATATTTTTAATACTTAATTCTCCTAAATATAAAAATATGTCTTGCGTTTTGTAAAAAATTCTTATACTGATATTGTATTCTCCATAGAAAATATGTCCTTCAATATATGATATAAGCTTGATATCGTAATGAATTGGGTTTATATATTCTGATGGATCACAACATAAAGATGATTCATTACGAATAGAAGCCGTCTCAGCGATAAACATAAATCCGCTACTTAATAATAGTTTTAGAAATATCATCATTTTGGAAAAGGAATATTTATTTAAGATTTGTAAATCACACTGTAAACAAAAGATAAATAGAGAAATTAAATATAGTTTTGATGTCTATTTTAAATTTCTAGATGACACAAGAGCGTGCTTTGCGCGCGCTTTTAATATAATTTCTATTATTTATTTTACAATTGTTAAATTGTTAATTTTCGATGACAGTTGCATGATGCTATAAATATGTTCATAATTTTATTTCGCTGAATTTTAATTATGCATATAATTTTAATTTCTGTATTTTGATTATGTATATAATTTTAATTTCTGAATTTTTGTTATGTATCAGGTATCAGACAACACAAACGTGCGCAAAGCGCGCGTTATTGATATTATTTTAATTTTTTATTTTTCAACTGTCAAACTGTTTCATTTAATTTATTTGATTAATATAATTCTACTTATTTTTGAGTACTGTTTTTATATTTATTTTTTATTTAACAAAATTGATTTTTTTCAAATTTTTCATAATATATTACTCGTATAAGGGGTTATATCGAATGCAAATTAAAACAATTGTTCTACTTTTTATTTTTCTTGACTGTATATTTAATCTTCAACAGCATAACTTAAGATTTGATTTTTTTTGTTAAAGTTATTTTAGTCAATAGCGCAACTTAAAAATCATTTTAAGTATTAAAATACACACAGATATTTTTTTATACAAAATTAAAAGTACGACAAAGTTTAGAAAACAGAATTTTTATAATCTATTAATGAAAGAACAATTAAATGTGTCTATTATAATAATTATTATCTGTTATGTAAATTGTAGTATTTGTAAGTTTCAGAAATAGTTTATATTGGATATCAAACTTTTGTTGGTCCACGATTATTTCAACATTACAATTCATAAAATATTATATTATCGATATTATTTGAAATTATCTCAGGACTAAAATTTAAAATAATTTTGAATAAAAGTATTCTCTTTATATCATAAATATCTATATATAATTAATTCTATAAATATCCGTTATACGGTATGATTAAATATTATTGATTGTAAACAAAGAAGGGCTATAAGAGCTATTAAACGTATAATACAGTTGACAGTTAATATATATTAATAAAATTCATTTAACTCAAATAATAAATACATAAGAAATAAACATTTTGCGAACGTTTCGGCTGACATTTCAAGTCTTCTTCGGCGCAATAAAAATATTTTAATTATAAATTAAATTGTAATATTAAACATTAAAGACGGTCATTAACAATGTCAAGATAGTGTAGCTCTTATTGTCCTTTTTTGTTTACAATTATTAAGTTTAACAGAGCTAATTACTAATTTTATTAAATATTCTTGTATTTGTGGACAAATATATATATATTTTATATTTTTAACTTATTCCGACTTACCCTATATTTCGGAACAGTATGTTAACTGCAAAAGTATATTGATAAAGATTATATTTTTTAACAATTAACTGCAACCAATTAATACTAGCAGCACGCAATGTTGGAAGAATATAATAGATTCACACACTTTATTAAAAGTATTGTATCTACCACGATATAGTTCGAAAAACTGACATCAGTCGATTCTCTGTACGGTTCGAAAGACCACGAAATACTGAAATCAGTCGATTCTCTGTACGTGTCATCATGCTAAATATGATGTGTTAAGTCAACAAAACTTTGGAGGTCGTTATATACAAGGTGTCCCGGAACACCCTTAACAACGTTCGTGTGATGATAGAGCGCATCGATACGAACGAAAAAGTCTTATACCATTTTGCGATATCTTTAATAATAACCGAAATATTTAATGTTAAAGTCAAGCGAATAATAGCGAGTAAGAGAGAAAGTTTTATCAAAGATGGAGTTTTCGCAAAATGGTATATTTGGCCCTATATATAATATATATATATATACATACAATACTCTTTTATAATAAAAATTATTTATGAGAAATTAATAATATCGATTTGATGTAAAAAATATTTATTTGATATAAGAAAATTTTTGTCAAAACAGATAAATATTTAATTGTATCAAATAAATGATTTATATAGCAGTATAGAAATAACAATATTTTTTAATTTAATACTTTTTTCAATGCGTTGATACACTTTTATTCTTGTCAATTATATTCTTGGTAGTATATGAAACATTTAATTGATTTTAATTGTGTAAGTAAGAATTAAATTAAATTATCATTATAATAATCGATTTTTCCTTTCTTTTTACAGTATTTTATTTCGTGTCAGAATTACTTCAATTTCAAATATATATATATATATATATATATATATATATATATATATACACACAGAAAATTGTACGCAAATGTGTGCATATATTACATAGTAACTCTCTTGTCATATTCTAATTGATGAGCTATAGAAAGATTTTAAGATATGTGTTAATTGTTTTCCAATTTTAGTCTAACGAATTTTTATCTAATTTCGAACTTTTTGTTCATGTTGTGATACTGTTGTACACATTTTATTTTGCTAAAACATAGTCGACATTTATTATTAAGAATAATAAGAAACTATAAATAATAGAAAGGCAAATGAAATAGTAATATAATTTTTTGATATTAAGTTTTATCGTGTTTATTGGAAGAAGTACATGTTAGACGTGCACTTATTGAAAACATCGATTTGATGATCAGCTTTATACTTGTTATCTTCTATCTATGTTTACATCTTTCTTAAATGTAATTGTTAAAATTAATTAAATATGATTAAGTTAAAATTACGATTGTTAAATAAATTTGATTTGCACTTATTGAGGTTAATTTAATAATCGATAAAATGATCCTAAATATATACAGTATTTATTCTTTATAAAAACTAATGTTTTATATTTTAAAATTTTAAAAGTTGCTATCTAATGTAGTTATCACTTCTTTCTTAAATGTAATATGTTAAAAAGTTAGATTTAAATATGAATTTTAAAAGATTAAAATTACGATTAACACTTATTATTATATCAGTATCGTTTGTGAGTTGATCAGAACAACACATCAATAACTTTGCGTATTAAAAAGAATATAACTGAGTTGTTATAAGAAAAATTATATTTTGATAGCCAGAACAAATTATGTAAGTACTTGTTTTTTATGATAATTTATGATATGACTCACATGGATATGATAGTTACGTAAGGTTAACAATTTAATAATAGAAAACTTTTATCGACTCCTGATTATATGTATATCGGAAAAAATTCAACAATAAAAAGATAGACAACAAAAGAGTAGACAGCAATGGCATCTGCAATCAAATATCACACTAAAATCCAAAATGACAATTGTAAAAAAATTTTTTCCTAATAAAGATGTCAATAATAAAAGCGAGAGTATAGGCGATTAAAAATCTGCGTTTATTTATTGATAAAAAATTAAATGTTTTAACCAAATCTGAGGCTTAATAAAAATTTATATTATCTATTAACATTGAGAAAGACTGTCGTGCAGTCGAAACGTATATGTATATGTAATTTGAATTTAGTTCTATTAAAATTATTTTAAGATTAATAAATGTTTTAGTATTTTAATAATGTGACATCGTAATTTGGTTTGCTCGTCATAGTTGGCCATTGTTTTTTATAGTATTCCTTCTTTTTTTATATTTACGATTAACACATTTTGCAGTATTTTTATGTCTTTTAAAGATATTAGTAGTAAGCGCCAAATTATGTTGTACAATTTTAAAGTTATGTAATATAATTTTATAAATATTAATATTGAAAATATATTTCTTATCTGATTAATATTAAGATTAATATTTTATTTAAATAACTCTATTAAAATTAAAATGTTGATTACGGAAGAGTGGGGGGGAGAGAGAGAGAGATTATGTTATGTGATTTACTGTAAATTAAAAAATGAAAATCAATCAATTTTATATAATAACATATTGATATTGAACATATATAGTACATATAATTAAAATTAGTTTTTATATAACATTAACATATTATTAATTCTTATTGTTGTACAAACATATATTTATGTATACATACATTTATTAATATTATAATGGATTAATTATATATTTAATATATAATATCTACTGAATATAATATGATACACGTATATATATTATATTGCTATTTTATATACACACACACATGCACACGCATACATATATATATATATATATATATATATATAAATATGTTGGCTATAAATGTTTATAATAATTAAATGATAGAAAATTAAATAATAATTCAATATGTGTGTGTGTGCGTGTTATATTATATTGAATAGTAAAATTTATTATAATATTATATTACTTTCTTGTGACTACACAGGTAATAATATATATTTCACCTATATCAAGCAAGATCGCAAAAGAAAAATGTAAAACTTGACGCATGCAGTCATAAAGTTTTGTAAATGCGGAGGCATCAAATAGTAAAACATATAAATAAATAATAATTAAAGTAGTAAAATAAATAGTATATACAATATAAAAAATTATTCATATGATGTATGTCCACGTATGCAAAGCTGCAATTTTCTTTTTACACCCACACATTAGACAAATAAACTTTCAAAATACTGTCTCTGTCTTTCGATTTGATATTTGCGAATTAATATTTTGCTTACAATATTGTCATAATTTTGTATTATGGAATCCTAATATATATAAACAAAAATTTGAACAATGAAATTAATATACTGTTTATATAATAAACAAAACAAATATAAAATTAATATTCAAAAATTAATAAGAGAGATAGAACAATATTTCTTTTTCGTAATAATATTTATTAAATTTACCATTTCTTTTATTCCAACGTATAAGTCTTCATTGGTCATCAACGATATAAGGTATACGTTTATATGCTAAAATGTATTATTTTTACAATTATTAATAGACAACGTTATTATTACATTATCAAAATTATTTAAACATTAAATAATATATATTAATATCGCATTATTATCACATTTTATACACATAGATATATAACATTTAAAATTTTTACCTCAGCTAGAATTTTGGAATATATGTTATTAATAATAATAAGTAATGCTGCAATTATACCAATATTTCTAAAAATGAGAAAAAACCAATATATATATATATATATATATATATATATATATAAAACACAATTTTTGTACAAAATATTTATAAAAATATGTCACATTACTTTGGTTTTATGTTCAAAAAATCATTTAGTATGTACTGCAAAGTACTTCGATTCTTCGCATGCCTCGTAATAATGTAAAAAGCTGTAAGCAGATTTATATTCTAAATGGTGTTTAATCAGATCAGTATTTTCAGTGCAAGCCAAGTATTCTAATAATTTAGTGTCAGATTTTTCATATCCTATAGCATACACTGATTCCCAAATCGTTTTGTTGATATTTATCATCAAACCTTTACAAAATGTCCATTTCTTCCACCATGGCAAAACTCTAAAACATAACAAAAATTAAATTTTATTATTAACGATTAGTATATAGATCTCTTGATCGAATTATTTGAACATTGTAGGCGATACCTACAAGAGGATTGATTAAGGAGGGCTAAAAATATATGTATAACAATATTTACTTGTGTTTTGTACGATTTTGGAGATGTTGTTCTAATTTATTCTTGGCTTCTTTCTTACAACTGAAGTTCTCAAGAAAACATGCCCATCTTGCAGCTTCTTGTCGTAAACATATTCTAAGTTCGTCTGTATCATCAATTTCTTCATATTTGATTCTTCCAAGTACTTGTTCTAATGCGTACTTTACTCTAGACTAAAAATTGTTAAATATATATTTATTACGACGCTAACATTTATCTATTCACGTACATATGCACGTGCAAATATACATATGTATTATACCTGTACGCAAAATTTTTTATAAAATAAACATAAATACAAATTCACTTATAGAGGCTAACGTTTATCTATTTACGTACATATGCACGTGCAAATATACATATGTATTATACCTGTACGCAAAAATATGGTTTAATTTGTGCGAAATGTTTTATAATATTTAATAGATATTATCGCTTTATAACTATTTATTAATCATATTTTATTTTTAAATAAGGTATAAAATATATCTTTTTGAATTATGTAATTAAATTTTTTTAACTATATATATGTTTAATATTTTTTTTATTACAACATGTAATATTGATATAAAGCCAATATAATTGCATTTATTGACAAAGATTTTAAGCACCTTGCTATATATCAAATAACAATTTTATATACCAATAATATTTGGAGTAGTGAAAATTATAGACTTTTCGGACAGTTCTTCAGGTGAGTGATTATTCAAACTGAATTTGTTTGCACATTTGTTTGCGATATAATAGAATGTAAAATAATTTTATCGGTGCTGGATATATTTTTCCAAGTATTTAAATTATTTGTGATCAATGAGTGTATATATGCAAATATTTAAAATGTAATATTTTTATTGAAATTTATTAATATTTACAGTAATATTTCCATCCGGTTCTCTCCATGGAAAAGTACCATACATGTATTCCAAAGCTTTAAACATAGGATACCATGCTATATAATCTTCTTCTTGTTGCAAATACTCTATAAGATTCCAGAATATATGGGTTTGGAGTTGGTTTGCTATCATTAAATGAAATGCATCATCGATAATTTGAGCACGATTAAGAACATGAATTTTCGTGTAATTATCAGATTTTAGGTAACTTGAAATTCTTCGCCAATTCTCATCATCATAGTTAACGCGATAATATCCTGTCGAATAGTAAATAAATTTTATCAATTTTTATTGTTTTAAATAATTTGATCATTAAAATACATATTTTCAAATTATTTCAATTTTTGTTTCATACTTTTGTTTATATAAATTATAAATTAAAAATTAAAAATTTAATAGATATAAAAGAAATGCAAATACATAATATAGAAAATTAATTATAAAAATGTCATTCTAATACTTGAAATAGTAGAGAAAATGAAACTGTGCAGGATATTGTTATATATCATAAAATAAAATTGATTTTAGTTGTGCATAATTAATAATTATTTTATGCTAACACCCATATAATTTTTGTAGCATATGTAACGTTACGAAAAATCTACGTTACCTGCATTTATTATTATTAATTTTATAAATATAATTATCTTTTAATAATTTTTACAATTATTTGAATAACATATTTGTAAAAATATAACATTAATATTGAATGATATTATTTAGAAAACGCCTACGCGCGTATATCTTAAATATAATATTATATATATATATATATAATATATATATATATATATATATATAAGTATGTATATATAATGCAAAATATTACACAAAAAGTTTTAAAACTATTATAATTATAATAAATTATATAATATATAATAAATATCTCAAAATTTTATAGAACAATGAATAAAAAAATAAATAAAATTAGATAAAAAAATAAATAAAAAAGTAAAATTATGTAAATTATATGTTTGTAAAATAAAGATGAGAAATAAATCATAATAAGTCCATATGTCGATATTTACCAACTTGTTGTATATTAAATATCATCCAACCACCCTCTTTAAATGGTAATAATAATTTGAGATCCTGTGACACGTAAAGATTTAGAAAATGATGAGTAAAATTGTTAAAATTGAGAGATGCTTCCGTAGTAAAAGTTATAGGAATGTGGCGAATTTTTAATATGTCGATATATTGTATCGACACAGTTGTTTGGCTCATTGGATCACTATAATTTCGTTTTACTTTAATAAGAGGACAGTGCTTTTCCGAATGCCAATATTCCATTCTTGTTAGATATACAACATCATTCATTTCGAAAGCAACATTCAAATGATTCACAGAGTCTAGACAATGTGATAGCCTAAATTCACAAAGTACGTAAAATATATAAATAGAAACAAGTTACAAATATGTTTAAATTATCTGTATAATGTTCATATTATATAGAAAATGTTGGTAGTTATTGAGATATGGGAAGCCACTTCCGATTTCGATGACCTTGACATTTGTTGTCAAGGTCACTGACCTGAGTAAGTATAAAGAGGTTTTAAGTGTCGCTCATTATTTTAAAAAAGTTATTAACAAAAAAGTTATGAACAGAAAAGAGATATAAGTTTTACATATTTAAAACCTGTTAAATAAGATTAGAAAACAAATGTAGCACAAAAAGAGGAATTGTAACACTAAGCAAAAACATTATGAAATAATGTCAGAAGAAACGAAAGAAAATAAGGGACATTATATAAAAAAATTTGTATATTATTATAAATTATTTAAGATTTCTATAATTTTATTTTTTTATATTATATTCTATGTTGTATTACTCACGTGCTATTTGCATATGAGAGAATGTTTTTCCAAAAAATGTGTCCGAAGGCGTGTTGCATCATGCGCACTATAAAGGGTGCTATAATTTACATCAAAATTATAAATTAAATACTTTATAAATGTATATTTATTATAATGGTTGCATGTAAACAGAGTAATTTTATAAAGAAAATTATAATATAAATCTATATATAAGATAGTAATCGCGTAAGAGTGAAATGTTTTTTATTGCCGCACCGTTTATCGTTTTATTTTATAAGTAAATTTCTTCTTAATACTTACGAAAATAGCAAAACTTTAAAGGACCATTCCCTCTACTTACATATGTACGGCTATCACTGTACACTGTGTGTGCGTGTGCGTGTGTGTGTGTGTGTGTGTGTGTGTGTGTGTGTGTGTGTGTGTGTTGCGCGCGTTTGCGTGAGTGTGTGAATAAGCATGAGCGTGTGCGCGCGCAGGTGTGTACTTTTATAAATATATTAAATTAAAATCCAGATAAAAAATTAATTATCTTCTAATTTTACACATATTTTAAACCATTAACAGTTAAAAATTTGCGCAGACTATTTTATTAAATTACGTATACCTTTGATAGAATTAGGAATTTCCAATGAACTGTTAACTTGTGAAGTAAAATTCCACATATAATAATCACTATCCAAATTAAAAGAGTAATGTTGATTTTGAACAACAAATAAATTTATTATTGGATAATCTGGATAAGTCTATAGAAAAAATAATTATTATATCGATATAAGCGTTTTGAAAATACTTGCATTAAAAATAAATACTAATATTATTACTGTTACTTCATTGTTAAAACGAATCATTTTTTTATTTTAAAAAACACATTAAAATAAATATATAATAATGAAATCTAAATTTTGTATTAATATAATTAACAAATATGTATTACGTATTTTTTAAATTATTGCCTCATGATATTATATTATTGCAAACTTCTTTTTACCCAATTTAATTAAATAAATATTATGTGTACTCGTTTTTTATTAATTTTTTTATATTATATTACATAAAATTTAAAAATATGTACTAGTGGTGTTAAAAAATAAAAATTTTAAATAAATTAATTATAATTATATATATGTAAATATGTGAAAAAAGTATTTCTTTAAAATAATTAATTATTTTAAATAATGCTAAATATATTTTCCAGACAATTCACAAAGAATGCATATAGATTTTGTAAAAAGGGTTTGATTTAAGAAAACCTTGCAATCTAAATGTTTAAGTATTATATCGTTTACAAGAAGGTGGGAGCGAGATAGAGTTGATAATATTTAAAATTACGTACCTTATTGACAGCATACGTTGCAAGCAATAAAATAAGACCTTTTTTAAACCAAAAATCCGACACTAATGGATCGTTCAACATGTTATTAAACCATTCCTGTGTCACTTTACGTCCTACTAATTGAGCTACTTCGATTTTGTGAGCAATAGGATATAAATTTTCATTGTAGATGATATCTGCTTCTCTGAAAGTTATATTTTAATGTTAACACTCAGAACTTTTATAGAAAATAAAACTTTATTTTTGTTACAATATTTTAATTTAATTGTTACTTGTACGATTTACAAAGTCATGGGTGCAATTTAGCAAAAAAATCAGTATTGTAAATTAAACCAAATAATATTTTCTTTATTTTTTAATTTACAATATGAAACAACGATAAATTTCTGTTAATGTGTATATCGTTGACAAAGAACAATAATTTGAAAATTTTAAAAATGTCATTTTTTCATAGCTTCATTACAGTTTTAACATCTACCTGAGAGGGTACAATTTAACATACATACTTTACCTTTTATTCAAACGGTATACTTTAACTTTGGAATAATATAAATAAACATAATTCTACGAAAGTTTTTATATTTCACAATTCTTTATACTTTCGAACGTGCACAGAAACAAAATATTGTATATACATGTTTTAAAATTTTATCTATTTGCATACTAATATAATTTTATTTTTAATGTAATTCTAAACACTTGTACTCACTTATAAAAAACAAGTCCGAAAACTATTATGCCATTGTCATGGAAATTTGGAATTGCAACATGTGTTACCTTCGAAATATTGTTCGAACATTGTTTCCATTCATTTTTGAACAGCAACGTGATATTTTCAGCTACATTTTCTGCAAATTCTATGTGAAATCCAGATTCGTTTCTGCACCACATTTCAATGTTTCGAGTGTTTTTATCAATACGTAATAGGTAATTAGACACAATCATTGTTGCAAGATAAGGCGACATTGCAGATGTGGTAGCGAAGTGTGTCCATAACATTTTAAACTTATTTTCTTCCGTTTGTCGCAATGGTATATTTGACAAAGCCGTACATTGATTACATCCTATAGATATATTAAAGGTTGCTTCTAACAATAAATTCTGTTCATTCCAACATGAAGACAATCGTCGGGTGCAGATTATATGAAACTGAGTAGCACCTATCAAACTATACATTTCAAGGAATATATTTAATGAACATTTTTAGTAAGCATAAAAATATTGGAATTAAAAAACGTATAAATGTAATAAGTAATAATATGTACTAAAAAAAAGATTACCCGTCTTTATATTTAAATGTTATGGTATATAATAATTTTTGAAACATTCGATACATAAATAATTAGTATATTAATTGCAATGTTTTATGTAATTGCACATTGTACTTTTCTAATAAACATATCCTATTTACTTACGCAATTTTTCCTTTTGTGTCAAAAATTCTAAATATTTTATCAGCAATACCAAGATATTTTATATTTAAAGTGTAATTTCCTGGTGATAACTCATCCGAAAAAGAAACATGAATTATGTTTTCATCAATATTATATGTTGAGTTATAAACTGTATCTTTATCATTCTCATATTTTTTTATATTTGAAAATAAAATTATATTTTTAATACATAGTTTTTCTGAATGTAAAAATACGTCTTGCGTTTTGTTAAAAATGCTTATACTGATATTGTATTCTCCATGTAAAATATGTCCTTCAATATATGATATAAGCTTGATATCGTAATGGATTGGGTTTATATATTCTGATGGATCACAACATAAAGATGATTCATTACGAATAGAAGCCGTCTCAGCGATAAACATAAATCCGCTACTTAATAATAGTTTCAGAAATATCATCATTTTGGAAAAGGAATATTTATTTAAGATTTGTAAATCACACTGTAAACAAAAGATAAATAGAGAAATTAAATATAGTTTTGATGTCTTTTTAAATTTCTAGATGACACAAGAGCGTGTTTCGCGCGCGCTTTTAATATAATTTCTATTATTTATTTTACAATTGTTAAATTGTTAATTTTCGATGACAGTTGCATGATGCTATAAATATGAACATAATTTTATTTCGCTGAATTTAATTATGCATATAATTTTAATTTCTGTATTTTGATTATGTATATAATTTTAATTTCTGAATTTTTGTTATGTATCAGGTATCAGACAACACAAACGTGCGCAAAGCGCGCGTTATTGATATTATTTTAATTTTTTATTTTTCAACTGTCAAACTAGTAATCTTGACGATGGCAGTTGTTTGATGCTATTAATATAACGCAAATGTTAATCAAGACAACCAATCAGCATCGCGGAAAATCAACAACAATATTTGCGATAATCGATTTTGCATGCCTTTTTTAAAAAGGGATTCTTGTATACAAACAAGAAAATAAATATAAAAAGTATTAAAATTAGTAATTAAAGAAACATTATACTTAATGAAATATTATATGGTAAGAAAGCAAAGTGCAAATTTTCATTTGCACAATTTCTTCTTCTAATGCATTATATATATATATATATATATATATATATATATATGTATATATATGTATGTGTGTATGCATGTATTTCAATGTTGCATAATTGACAGCAATATACAAAAATTAAATTGACAAAAAATTATTTTATCGTCTAAAAATTATATACATCTAAAACAAAATTTTGAAACTAATTTATTAAAATATAAAGATTTATAGAACATAAAGTTTATTGTCTGAAGCAAATTAAATTAATAAACACAAGATCCATCACGTTTACATACATAAAAACCTGTTTTTATTCAAAATAAGAAGAAGACAGTAAGACTAAGAAAGATCGAGCAGCGGAGACAGAGATATAAAGAGAGAAAGAGAAAGAGAGAGAGAGGGAGCACATGTTTATTATTATTTTCCTTTAGAGGTCTGTGTTATTTCTTCTTTTAAATTGTGTATTATAAACTCCAAACGAACAATCGTCGAGAATAAAACAAACATAAAATCAATTTTAATTTATATAATCTACACACTTAATAATAAATATTATATACATATATTTATGATGTTCCAGAACTAAGGATTTTTTTAGATATTTTAGATTGAACGCATCAAAATAAATGTGGAGTTAACAATTGCTTGAAATCAATAATATTATGCATTTTTCATTCGATTTACAATTAGAGAATGTTCTACCGTTTTACTCTATAATTTAGAATTAATAAATAATTATAATTTTTAATTACTATAATTTTTAAGTGTTGTATTTATCTTTATTTTTTTCTTACTTAACAAAATTATTTTTTCAAACTTTTCATAAAACATCGCTCTTATAAGGTATATATATCGAATACAAATTGAAAACAATAATTAATTTGTTCTATTTTATTATTTCTCTAATATATATATATATATATATATATATATATATATATATATATATATATATAATCTTCAACAAAAAAATTATTATTTGATTCTTCATTCTTGTTAAAGTTATTCTAAAACATAAATTCAAAATAATTTTAAATATTAAAATACAGATACTATTTTATAAAAAATAAAATGTTCGACTAATTTTAGAAAACAAAATTTTAATAATCTTGTAATGAACAGACAGTTAGTGTCTATTACAAAATTTATATTATTATTATGTAAATTATCGTATTTTTAAGTTTCATAAATAATTTATTAGATATCAAACATTTATGGGTCTACGATTATTTCAACATTACAATTCATAAAATATTATAATATCGGCATCATTTGAAATTATCTCTGAATTAAAATAAAAGATAATTTTGAATAAAAATATTCTCTTTATATGTTGGTAATTATTTAAATGTCCGTTATACTGTATGATTAAATTTTTCGTATTTGTGGCCAAATATATATATTTATATATATATATTTGGCCACAAAATATATATTTTTAACTTATTCTGACTTACCCTATATTTCGGAACAATATGTTAATTGCATAATTATATTGATAAAATTTATATTTTTTTAACAATTAACTAAAAGACTACGAAAGACGGACTGATTTTCTGTACGTGTCATCATGATAAATATGTGTGAGGTCAACAAAACTTCTAAGGTTGTTATACATATACAGGGTGTTCTGCAACAGGTGGGACAAAATTTAAGAGCGGATTCTCTGAGTAATTTGGAGACGATTTTTCCTTAGCAAAAATGTTGAGAAGTCAATAATTTTCGAGTTATAAGCGATTGAAAAAAATGGATTTCTTGAAAACTAAACGTTGTGAAGTTAAAAATGTAACATAATTACATTTTTCAGTTAATTTCAGGTGGAGTTTACTTTAATAAAATTTTAATTTGAGGCTTAATTACAAAGATACATAATGACAAATATGGGAAAGTTGTAAAAAATGATTACCTCTCTTGATATTTTTGCTAAGGAAAAATCGTCTCCAAATTAGCCAGAGAATTCGCTCTTAAATTTTTTCCCATCTGTTGCAGAACACCCTGTATATATATATATATATATATATATATATATATATATATATAATTGTGTGTGTGTAGCGGCATTTGAGTGCAACAGTTGTTTTAATTAAACACATTCAAATTTTGCCTAATTAATCAAGTAAATATGCATTATTGACAAGTTTATATTACTTATTTCAAAAAACATTTTCACAAAAATATGGTGTATTATCTCGAAATATAATTATCGCTTTTGATAATTTTGTCTTAATAATTGTCATAATTTTATAATTTTAATAATTATCTCAATAATTCTTAATAATTCTATTTATTTTATTCATAATAATTATCTTTAATAAAGATTAATATTTACGATTCCTTCCTTTGTACTGCATTTTAGAATTATACTTATTTATCAATTAAAGCATTTTAGAATTATACTTATTTATCAATTAAAGTATTAAATCAGCCACTTTTCTGTAAAAGGCATGCAAAGTTAATTATATAATATATATAATCTTCTAATTTTGAATAAAACTGTTCTGTTTATACTAATATATTGAAAATTCTTTAAAATCCCGTTATACTGTATAATTAAATTTTTTTGTACTTGTTTTTATATTTTTCACTTATTTTGACTTACCTAAATATTTCGGAACTTTATGTTAATTGCAAAATTATATTGATAAAAATTATATTTTGTTAACAATGAACTGTAACAAATTAATACTAGTAACACGCAATGTTGGAAGAATATAACATAGTCACACACACCTTATAAAAGTATTATCTACCACGATATGGTTTGAAAGACCACGAAAGACTAACATCAGTCGATTCTCTGCGTACAGTTCGAAAGACCACGAAAGACTGAAACCAGTCGATTCTCTGTACGTGTCATCATGATAAATAATAAATATGATGTATTAGATCCACAAAACTTCTAAGGTCGTTATATATATATATATATATATATATATATATATATGAAAAAAATAAACAAACATACAAAGTTATTTCATACCCGCAAGTAGACACCCTATAAGTTGTTATTTGTTAGTCAGTAATATAATTCCAATAATATCAACTAATTAGCAAATTCCCGAGTGATCCAGCTATCATATATATATATATATATATATATATATATATATATATATAATATGTATATGATAGCTGGATCACTCGGGAATTTGCTAATTAGTTGATATTATTGGAATTATATTACTGACTAACAAATAACAACTTATAGGGTGTCTACTTGCGGGTATGAAATAACTTTGTATGTTTGTTTATTTTTTTCATTCAAGATTTTTGTGTATTCTGTTTCGTCTTTTGATTGATTTTTTTATCCTACTTTAATATATATTAATATAATAATTTTTGTTTGAACAAATTTAACTTATCCACACACAAATACGTCATGTATTAACAAATAATAAATTAAATAAATATAAAAGTATTTTTGCGTTATTATTTTTAAAACTGAAATACACACAGTAGCTAAATCGCTAATATAGCGAATATTCGCTAATTAAAAAGTATTATTAGTATTTATACTATTTTAACTGACTTTAATATTATTAGTATTTATACTATTTTAACTGACTAACGAAACATCACAGATAGGGTGTCTACTTGCGGGTATAAAATAATTTTTATCCATTTTTTCATTTAAGATTTTTTGTATTTTATTTTATCTTCTTATTAATTTTATTCTGTACAGATGAGTTTATTTAATTAAATTTAATTCAAATACATACACATACATTATTATCGACAGAAGAGAGGCACATAATTTCAATTCCCTAAATTTTATGTACATAATTTTAATTCCTGAATTTTTGTTATGTATTAGATAAAACAGTGTGCGCGCCATTAATATTGTTTTTATTTTTATTTTTCATATTTTGTATATTTTTTTTAGAAAGGAAAAAAATATCTATTTTAACAAAGAGATACTATTTTTCTACTTGTTTAAATAAAACTCCAGCGCGATACCTGAATAAATTGTTCTATTTTTGATTTACTAGAAAATGTATAATATAACTTTATAATATATTTATTATATTTATAAATCAATTCTATTATATGACTTATTATATTTACTAAACATTTATTATATGACTTATAAATATATTATATTTATAGATAAAATGTATTATATGATTTGTTATATATTTATAGGTAAAAATTGTATTAAAGATAAATTTAAAAATATTTTTTGTAAAATTTTAGTAAAATTTGATTATTAAATTTTACTTATGTTATCTAATCTATATTAGTAAATATATATTTTATCTATATTATCCAATTTAACAAGTGTTCACTGTACGTATAGAGTGATAAAGTTCATTTCTTCTTCCTTTTCTTATAAAGCATGCGCCTATCGATAAGCAGATAGGCAATCCGACATAATGATGTGTATGTATCGGAAACACCCTGTATATATGATCGCTTTCTAAGATTCGCTAATTAGTTGACATTATTTAGAATTATATATTACTAACTGATGACTAATGAAACATCTTATGAGGTGTCTTCTTGCGGGTATAAAATAACTATGCTTGTTTGTTCTTTTTCGTTCAAAATTCTTTTGTATTTTATTTTGTCTTCTAATAATTGATCTCTCTATCTTGTTTTAATATATATTAATGTAAGAGTCTTTGTTTGAACAAATTAAATTCATTTACATATATAAAACCAAATGCGTCACTTTTATTAGATTTAAAATTTATTTATTTATAGTTATTAAAGGCATGCGCATGCAAATTATAAACAAAAGCTTTTAATATAGTTTTCTCGAAATATGAAGGCAATCTGACAGAAGGTAAACGGAAAAAATATTTTGCATGTCAAATAAAAGCTGAAATTTTGTTTATAATTATTATATATCAATCTTTAGCAAATGAACTAGATTGTATTTACGGTATAATTAAAGTTTTTTATAGATTAACACTATATTAATAAGGTGAAAAAAAGAAAATTATACATACAAAAATTAAAATATAAAGAAGATATAAATATAGAGAATTGAATTATATAATAATTAATCATAATTGATATATTTATTATGTATATATTGATATTAAACATTTACATTATTTATAAAATTTAAAAAATTTAATTTGTATATTATAGATTTATTGCATTAAAACTACGTTCCGTACGTACATTAAAATTTCAATAAACTCCGTTATTTTTGTAATAAAAATATATTAAATGTTTCCTCTTATCAAAAATAACTTTCTAATAATTAATATAATTGATATTCTAATATATGAAATATTGAAATATTCTTCATACACATATAAGTTATTTTACTATCTATCGCGTATAAAGATATTATAATAAATCATAGCAACATAAATTATATATAATTATTTCAAAAGTGTTTTATGACCTATATGAATTTTAAAAAATGAATAAATAAATCAAATATTTTTTTAACAACTTATCTATCGCAATATAATTATGCAACCTTTTGTGATAACATCGATAGTAAACTGTCTACATCATTATCGTCATTTGGCTGTATTTGCTCTTTGTACTCTTCTAACATTTCTCTGATGCACTATGTTCCTTCTTCCAAATAATTTCATAACTGGCTATAGATCTGATATTACGTATCTTTTTTATTTGATCAGGAATAAATAAGTTTGACATAGACAAACGTTCATCAAGTGTAAAATCTGGCAGATGTAAAAATTGCCATCGAGTAATTAGTGTAAATATTTTTTCAAATGTATATTGTGGTTCCCAACATAGATATTTCTCTATAAAATCCTATAATAGAAAAATATTATATATATTTAATTAATATAATATTATATATATATAACCAAGAGATTATTTTATAACATATAATAAATATATATATATATATATATATATATATATATATATATGCAACAATATATTTACAATAAATGCATTGACTTAAGGTTGCTTCCATTCTATATCCAATTTAGTTGGAACCAAATCTTTCTTAGTAAGATATTCTTCTATTAACTCCTGATTAGGAAAATTTTCATCATGAAGTGCCTTTTTCCTCAATGATATTTCATTTAACATCAGTGCTCTCCTTTCTCTATATACATTACAAAGCACTATATAATTAGTTATTAAGTACAATATGCATCTCAAATATATATATGATGCAGTAATTACCTGAAGTCATCATTTTTGCATTTTTCAAGTACCACAATAAACACAACCTGATTTTTTATGTTTTTGTAATTTTTCTCGATGACCACATACTGTACATAAATCAGAATTTAATAAATTTGATTCAATTCTATCTAAACTTGTGTCAGTTCTCCAATCCTGAATTCTGAAAAGAGGAAATAATTTAGTCACAATAAATAAATTTGATAAATTTGATTTATATATATATATATATATATATATATATAAATATAAATTTAAAGTGTAAGACAGGCAATAAGAGCCAAATCGCGGATGACAGTGCGTTATCCCAACGAAACTAAAATTTTTTCCGTTAGAATTAAATACC